AAGAAATATTGTTATAATATTCAAGAATCTGTCGCTTCAACCTATATTAAATATTGCAAAAAAATATTACTGTAATATTTGTGTGCTATCTGGGTCAAAGACAATTGTTAGTGTTAGTTATTAATAACTAACACTTGCCATACCGACAGTCAGCCCCGAAAATCTAAATTAAGTTCAAATAAATAACTTGAATTGTTATGATTATTTCGACTGTGTAAAACGAGACACTTAAGACATTAATCTGAGTTGCGATTTAGGCGAACTTGGTGTTAGTCTTGAGATGATCATTATTTGAATAAAATGAAATTTCAGTGTTTTTACGCACATCGGCTAATGCAGACCCGCAAAACAAGTTCACGCACTTTATCATATCGGTGGTGAATGAAAATCCGGAAAAAAACATCGGCTCCGAAAATTCAATTGGGAACTTACAGCTGTATGGCGATGCGATGACCAAGTTTAGCGATAGCTGCCAAAATGCAGTGGTTGAAACCGACCATCAACCCAAAGCTGAGATTCAGGTAGATTTTTCAGTGTTTTTAGAGCAAAATTCATCCGAAAAAAACTGATAAAACGTCGCAGCCCATTCACCGAAAACTTTTGCAGTTTCTCTGGCTGGCTCCACCAAAAGGAGGCGGTTGCGTTAAATTCAAAGCGACCGTGGTGGAATCAGTGGACGTTTGGTATAGCGAAGATGGCGATTTAACCAAATCGGTCTGCGAAGAAGCTCCAGATACTGAAGACACACAGCCGAAGATCCTCAAGCATTGTTGTACGTGCGACGAAGCAAAATACGAGGTAAACTAGGCCAAAAATAATCGTCAATAACATGAAATGAAGATCTGCAGGTAACCTTTGAAGGCTTGTGGTCGCGCAACACGCATCCCAAAGACTTTCCCAGCACCAGTCGAGTGACCAGATTTAGCGACATAATCGGCGCTTCCCACACGATTAACTACACCTTTTGGAACTATGGAGATCTGGCTAGCGAAGGATTGCAAGAACTGGCCGAGTATGGAAACACCCGGTTATTGGAGAGCGAGCTGAAGGCCAAGGTAACGAATAGGGTTTATACAAAAATTTACATTTTAGAAAACCCGTTTTCGAATAGTRGTTTTTCCAGAAAACCACTATTCGAAAACCACGTTTCAAATTTTTATAAAAAAAATTTTTACAGAAAATTTACAGTGATTAAAAAATTTACTGTTCAATTATATTGATAGTMAATTTTWTTTATGCAATTTAGGAGAACAAAGAAATAATTGTTTACCAGGGTYAAATAACTTTAAAAACARTTATTCRTTGTTTATGCATACTTTTCACATATAGGGATGTAAATATTTTTATAATAGAGAAACGAGTTATTCAGCAAAGGGTTCGAATAAACAAAAACAATATATTTTCATATTTTTATAATAACCATATTATTTTTTYTTAAACAATGTTATTAGATACTGCTGGATACTTATTAAACAGAATTAGAAAATACATAACTGTGTATTGTATAAAGTAAATTATAATCAAAGCCGAAAGACAAGAGTAAATAAAGTTTGTGCATACATACTTATTAAAATCAATTTCAGTTTTAAAGACAATTTAGCAAACGTTCGCAAAAAGTTCCGTGCAAACCTATAAATGGGGCGAATTTTCTAGCAAAATTAATTTTGTAATTTTTTGCTAAAAACACCTCATTATTGTCAAGAAAGAAGAGAATCATCAGAAAACAATGCTTTTTTGCGTTTTCGATTAAAAACTTTTAGTTTTGTGATCGGTTTTGGAGAAAACCTTAATGGTTTTCGGGAAAAAACGGTAGGAATTTATGTTCGTTTTTGTCCCGAATTGGACACTGAAAAAAGTTTTTGTAAATTTTTTACAAAGCTATAAATTTATCTTGTAATTTTTCGCGTAAAAGTCAT